CAAACTTTTTCTCTTAAGAAAGAAATTGTAGCATCATGAACCTCTCATCTACAAAAAGAGCTGGAAAAATATTAACTTACTGCTCAAAAACCAGCAAAGCTATTATTTAAATTGATTTTTAGAGAGGGAGGAAGGGAGAGAAAGAGAAACATCGATGTGAGAGTGAAACATCAATCAGCTGTCTGCTGCACGCCCCCTTCCAGGGACCCAGCACACAACCTGGGCATGTGCCCCAACTGGGAATCAAACTTGCAACCCTTCACTGAACAAAATGACACTGAACTGCTCCTGTTCAAAAACCAACTTACCCACACCAGCCCGGGCTTATCTGCCTTATTTGCACTCTTCATGAAAAAAGGAGGGGCTGTGTCATCATGAGGCCCTCATCTACAAGTACGAGGACTGTAGAAATATTACTTCTACTCAAAACCCAGAAGGTAAGTGTTTCCTGTCCTAAAAGAGAAATTAGGGGGGTATCATTATGAGCCTTTCATCTACAAAAACAAAAACTAGAGAAATATCACCTCTTTTGCTCAAAATCTAGCAGTTATTTCCGCTCTTAAGGGAGAGAAGAGGGGTTGTAACATTATGAGCTACTCATCTACAGTTACATGAGAAATATCAATTATCCTGCTGGAAAATGAAAAAAGAACCCACTGAATAGAAGAACATATTCACCAATGATACATTCCAAAATATATAAAGTACTCATACAACTCAAACCAGGAAGACAAACCATCCAATTAAAAAATGGGCTAAGGACCTGAATAGACACTGCTCTAAAAGGGCATACAGGTGGCCAGTAGACAAGAAAAAATGCTCAAGGTCACTAATCATAGTTGTAACATCATGAGCTTCTAATCTAATCTAAAACAAAACAAAAACCCTCAAGATATATCACCTTTCCTGCCCCAAAACGAGCTGTTAGGACTCTTATAAAAAATTAAGCATTAGTATTTTTAATTTCTGTTTTGATTATTTTAATTACTATAGGATATTACATTTGTTTATTTTTGCTTTCATTTTTGGAGAAAAGGGAAATTATCTTTTAAATTTTTTTTAAAAGTTCTAGTTAACCTACATGACATTCTCTTTTGAGCATTGGTACTCTCATTTAGAAAGTTTAAAGTATATTTCTATGTACTAAAGTTTCAAATGCTTTAATGTTTACTTTGATATTGGGGGGGAAGTGATTTTTTTGACATTAGAAAATTTCTTAAATATTTCTTGTTGTTTCCTAAAGCAAAATGGATACTCTTTTTTTTTCATTATTCATTGTTTCCTTTCCTCCTGGACTTTCTGGACATTGTTGCTATATATGAATTATTTTTAAGTAATTTTAATTATGAGCTTTAATTTCAGCTTTTCAGCCTTTGAAGATTTCTTTTTTTTTTTCATTGATGTTAGAGAGAGAGGAAGGGAGGCAGAGAGAGAGAAAGAAACATAGATGTGAGAGAGATAACATCTGTCATTTGCTTCCCGTACAGTCCCTGAGACCCGGGATCAAGACCACAATCAGGAATCAAACCCATGACCCCTCAGTGCATGGGAACTAAGCCACCCAGGCAGGGTGAAGATTTCTCTTTAAAATAAATAACTGTTCTCTTAAAAATCATATATCCTGCAGTTTTTAGCCTTTGAAAATTAATATGTAACTGGTCTAAAAACTACCATAATGAACTAGTAAAATGGAGATTTCTGGTGGTACAGAAGCTACATGAAAGGAGTTGCTGTTCTATTTTTCTTTCCAGGAACTATCTTGATAGCAGGTGGCTTTTGCTAATTGGTACTTCCAAGTGCTTATCTATATATTAGAGGCCCGATGCACAAAGATTTGTGCAAGAATGGGCCTTCCTTCCCCTGGCTGCCAGCACTACATTTGCTCTGGCCAGAGGTGCCTTTCCACCTTCGCTCCAGTCCAGAGGCCCAGAGTGGCTGGGGTGGTGCGGAAAGCCTGCGTCATTGCCATGGTGACAACACAAGTGTCCTGCCCTGCCCACAGCCGCTCCATGCCTGTGTATGCAAATTAACCTGCCATCTTTGTTAGGTTAATTTGCATACTCACTCCTGATTGGCTGGCGGGCGTTGGAAGGTACAGTCAATTTGCATCTTTCTCTTTTATTAGTATCGCTATAAAACCCTAAGTGACCGTTACAACCAAACAACTGAAACAACCTGTCAACCAGTCGCTATGATGCTCACTGACCACCAGGGGGCAGATGCTCAATGCAGGAGCTGCCCCCTGGTGGTCAGTGCACTCCCACAGCCAACCTTGTGCGGTCCCCCTGCCAGCCAGCTTCCCATGATCCCTCCGCCCAGCTTGTCCCTCCCCCTGGCTGTCAGCCAACCTCCTGCAGTCCCTCCTGCCTCCCCCAGCCGGCCTCCATGGGCCCTGATCACCAGCCAGGTCTAGGGACTCCACCCATTCACGAATTTGTGCACCAGGCCTCTAGTATTGAATAAATGACTTATTCTACCTATAATGCATTCCATTAACTATTATTTCTAGAAAGTACATTTTGATTGATTGTGATATACATCTTGCTTTCCTTGTGGGACTATGATGCACTATTGCCTCCTTGAGCTAAAATGTGTCTGTGATGTCATTGTCTTCTTTCCTACCTTTGCAGTTACATTGGCAAATTCTAATAGCACATTTCCAAGGAAGAATTTTAAAAATTTAAACAGTTCAGTGAAATTTCTTTTTCAGGTTTTCAAGCATAACTTTTTTAAAAAAAATTACAGTTGAAGGAAATGAGTGGAAAATAATTCACTAGGATGATAGCACCCTTAATTTTCTCCTCAGTCTATAAATTTCAGCCATCTTTCAAGATTTTTTTCCTGAACTATCACAGCCCCCAAATTTTTAGAATTTGCATTGCCCTTGATTTGTATAGTTTTACTCAACACTACAATTCTATATTTACAATTTTACAACTTAAATCATAGCGGGTTATAGTGTGTACTTCCTTCAAGTTTTTGTTTTTAGTCCTCAATGCTACTCCCACCTTCAAACCTCCTCAGCCCTTGACTCAATCACCAACACTGAAGGAGGTCCAGTAAATGCTTTTTAAATCATTTCTTTGATTATTAACACAAAAAAATTCTATAAGGAAGAATTCCGAGTGATCCGCTTACCTTTCTACTCGCTGTTGTCAGAAATGTGTAGGGCTCTTTAGTATTTGATTCTTGCCTAGAAAACATGATTTCTTAATGCAGGCTTTGCTTCTGGAAAATACTTGTTTTTAAATTTTGTTGTTGAAAGTATTACATATGTCCCTTCCCCCCGCCCCATTGACCTCTTCTAGCCTGCCACTGCCCCCCGCCCCAGGCCTTCACACTATTGTCTGTGTCCATGGGTTATGCATTATAGAAAATATTTGTTTTTTAAAACAAATCTGTTTTAAGATAGAGCAAGCTAACTGAACACATGCCTACCTCACACAATTTAATTGGGTCACATTCACACAAACTAGCTTTCCTAAAGCGTGCTTGAAAACTATATCACTCCTCTTTTGTATCTAAACTTACCCCTGTCTTTCTTTTGTCTGCTTCCTCAAATACATTGTTTGCTGTACTACCATTTTCTGTCAAATATTAATTCACTCGTTAACTACTTTTTTTGTTGTTGTTAATCCTAACCCAAGGATTCCCCCCCCCCCATTGCTTTTTAGAGAGAGTGGAAGGGAGGGAGGAAGGAGAAAGGAGGAAGGGAGAGAGAGAGAGAAAGAGAGAGAGAGAGAGAAAGAGAGAGAGAAACATCTATGTGAGACACATCAACTGGTTGCCTTCTGCATGCGCTCCAACCAGGAGTGGGGAGTGAACCACAACCTAAGAATGGACCCTTGATTGGGAATTGAACCCATGACCCTTTGGTGTGCAGGCCACGTCACCAACCACTGAGCATACTAGCCACGGCACTTGTCAGCTACTTTTAAAAAGATGTTCTCTCTATTCTTTATTACATTCATCCCCCCCAAAACTATCTTTATTTAATTACTAGAGGCCCGGTCCACAAAAATTTGTGCACTTGTGGGGGAAAGGGGGGTCCCTCAGCCCGGCCTGTGCCCTCTCGCAGTCTGAGTCCCCTCAGGGGATGACCACCTGCTGTCTTAGGCCTGCTCCCCGGGGGATTGGGCCTAAGATGGAAATCAGACATCCCTCTGGCAGCCCAACAGCCCTCGGGGGATGTCCACTTGTCAGCCGGGAGCAGGCCTAAACAGTCAGACATCCTTAGGCAGGAGGGGCTCCCACTACCACCGCTGTACTGGCAGCCATCAGCCTGGCTTGTGGCTGAGCGGCACGCCCCCTGTGGGAGTGCACTGACCACCAGGGGGCAGCTCGAGCATCATAGCGACTGGTCATTCAGGTTGTTCTGCCGAAAGGGTTGCGTACGCTTTTATATATAGAGATTGAGATGTTTATGCATATTTCTGTGCTTCTAAGCTGGCTTTAACTCTGAGACTTGGCTCCAGCTCTGAGACCTCGGCTGCTGAAAGCAGGTATCTGGGTTTGTTTGGCTTCTATAATTGAAGCACTGTTGCAACTCCAGCTCTGAGGCCCGGCTGGCTGAAAGCGGGTTTCTGGGATTTGTTTAGCTTCTACAATTGCAACATTGTTTCAGAGGCCAGCAGCGGCAGGTGGGGAACCTTGGCTTCCTCCATCACTGGAGCAACCAAGCCTCCTGTTCCCCTCATCTGCCTGGCTGCCGGCCGCCATCTTGGTTGGCAGTTAATTTGCATATCACCCTGATTAGCCAATGGGAAGGGTAGCAAAGTTGCAGTTAATTACCATGCTTTTCTATTATTAGATAGGATAATTAAGCACCAAACTATTTCCTTGAAGACTGAGTTTGTGAGAGGCCTCCTTTTCTTCCAGTAAAAGCTTCTCAATGAAGTAATACACTTTTATTTTATTTTTTTAAAGGG